GGGCCTGGAGGAGGCCGCCACCGCCACCGCCTGGGCCCTCCCAGCGCCAGCCCCTCCGCAGGCCGCTGGGCCACGCCACGTGGATGGGATGGCGAGGCCTGGCACGAGAGTCCAGGGTGGACCGGGATCCCTGGCCCGCTGCAAACATGTTCAGCCGGCCACCCAAGAGGGCCCCTGGCCCCTCCTGGGTGCAGCCTGGAGTGGGGCTGGGCGAAATCAACCCCGACTGCTGTGTGGGGGGGGGGCGCGCACGAGGGGAGATGGAACCAGGCCAGCTGCTCGGGGGGGGGACCCATTTTGTACGACTGGAGCAGGAGCGAGGCCACCCACCACCCTCACCAGGGCTGGAGCAGGGAGGGCCAGACTGAAGCCCTTTCCATTTCTGTTCTCCTCCCCGCCCCCCCCGGTCGGCCCCGCAGGCAGGGCAGCAACAGCACAGCCCGACCTCCCCAGGCTGCTCTCATGTCCCCCCCCCCTTTCTGTCTGCAGGCAAGCGACCACAGCATTTGGAGGGGGGGAGGCGGTGGCAGAGGGCTATCCAGAGCAGGACCCCCGACTCTCTTGGGCCCTTCCTCCACGTTCCGGGTCCCGTGTCGGGCAGATGCTCAAGGGGCTCCAGCCAGGCCAATAGGGCCAGTGATGCAAACACGGCCGAATCGCGGGGCGGCTGGCCAAGCCGGCCCCACAGGCACCCCCACGGGCATCCCCGTGCTCAATGGCTGCCTCATTTCTACACCCGCTCTTCTGGCTAACGAAGGGACGTCTGTCATGTGCCGCACTCCACGGCGCCTGCCGCTGAGCACTGTGCACGCTCTGCCAGCCAAGTCCTCCTGCCTGCCTTCACTTCGCGCTCCCAGGCGGTCAGCCAGACAGAGGACGCACAAAGCGACCGGGGGGGGGAGAGGACAACTCCCACAAAGCGTATCTTAGGGAAAGAAATGCCGCCGGGCAGAGTGTTTTTCCCGTGTCAGCCCGTCACATGTTGCTCTGCCACACCTGTGCAATTTCCTCAGGCGTGCTTTGCTCAGGCGTGGTTGCCCAGAGTTACATGGCCAAACATTTGGAAGCTTTTTACACAGAGAGGAAGAAAATCCTCACCGTTGGGGACGAGACGGCATGGATTCCCGGCTCACATAGCTTAACCACAAAAGGCAAAACTTGGTTTGGAAGAAGAGTATACAAAACCCTCTTTGAACCATGTGCAGAATCCGGGGATATAAAGAATCCTGCACCGTCAACTCCACGCCTCCTACCAGGCCTCGTCCATCCATCGGCTAGAGCACCAGGAAGTGAAAGTCTCCAGGACAAGCGAATCAAGCCTCAGGTCCCAGGGCGACTCAAGCAGGAGGGAGGAGCGACCCACAGAGAGAGAACGCGGGCCCATTTCAGAGACAGGGCGCATGAGACCAAAGCCAGAGAGAGGACCTACTCAAACATCCGGCGGAGGGTCCCAAAACCCACGGAGAAGATGAAAAGAGGGAGCGAGGCCACGATCCATGCCCCCAAGCACAAAGACAGGAGTGTGCCACCGTGCTCTGGGAAAAACACTCTGCCCATCCACACACACACACACCCCGAGAGGACCTCCAGCACCATCCTCAGAAGAATGAGCCCCCAGCTAACCCCCCCAACACACACTCACCCCTGAGCGCATCTCCTAAGACCTCCCAGGAGTCGTCCCAGGGGAAAGGACCTGTCGAGGGCCCTTCAAGGACCCGAGGTGGGCCACGCACGTCCTCTGCCTCAGGGAGACCCTGCTCCCTCTGGAGTCAACCTGGGCCTATGGGTCACCTACCCCCCACAGGGTCCAGCAGGAGCTCTCCAGGGTCCTGACGGCCACTTGTGTGTGTGTGTGTGTCTGTGTGTGTGTATGCACGCACACATGTGTGTGTGCCATCTGCCCACATCTGGGAGTAATGTCCACACAATGGATGGGGATTCCTGCCTCCCATGGGGGAGGGGGCTCCACGTGAGGGGTTCCCACTCCCCACTTTGTACAAACGCTCTCCATCAGGCCAGAGGGACTTCTTGGCCAGGTGGCTCTTTCCACGCCAGCGTGGCTTCGGCAGGCAGGCCACAGAGCATGCAGGCGGCTGAGGGATGGGGCAAGGCAAGGGTGTCCCGGCTACCTTTGGGGTCCGAGCACCCAGGGGGCAGAGGCAAAACCCATCCGCTTTGATTTTGGCCAGACGGTGGAAGAGAGCATGGAGCCAGGTCCGCCCACAAAGGAGGTGAGACAGGCCGGGCCCCCTTGCACCCAAGGAAGCCCGGCGGCTGCACGTGAGAGCTTTGGGCGAAGACAGCTGGGGTTTAGCCAAGCGGCTGCCCTTTACGCAGGACATTTCACCTTCCCAGTCTGGTGTGGTTTGAGGATTCCTGACCCACATCCTGCCCTAGAGTAGAGCAAACCCTCAACTTTATCTTGACAAAAGTCCAGAAGGAAACGAAGAGGCCCTTTCCGCAAAAGAAAGACAGGCACCAAGGGCCGAGAAGCCAGCAGCGCCGCCTTGGGCCCCCTTTCCGTGACATCCTCCCCTCCTGGCGCAGGCCGACGCAGCAGGAGGGAAGCCCCCCCCCCAGCAGCTGAGGCCGTGGATGATGCCACCCTGCCCGGGAGACTCACCGTAGCTGGGAGTGGAGTTTGGCTGCCTTGGAGTTGAAATCCTCCCAGATCGGATACGAACTCTGGAACACAGAAGGGGAGAGAGAAAAAATGGGGTGATGAGAAATATCAGGTGCCGGGTCCACAAAGTTCTCAGCGCAACCCCCGTCCCCAAACCCCAAAGGGGCACAAAACAGCCCCCCCCACCACCAAGAGGGAGGCCCTTTCCTTCCCCTCCCCTCCCCAGGCTGCTCCTCTCCGGAAGACCCAAGACTTTTTTGTGCTGCCTTTTTGCCTGCAGCTGGCTGAGGATGGTGACCCCTTGTCGAGAAACACGGGGAGGTGTGTGTGTGTGTGTGGGGGGGAAGGAAGCTGCTTCTGCTCCCGTTCATGCAGACGATAAAGAGGACATTTTGAAAGGGCTTCCCCGCTGAGGCTGAACTTCCAAGAAGCCCAAAAGGGCTGGGAAATCCCGGCCCCACGTCAGCTGGGGAGGTCTTGGCTGCCCTTTAAGGGCTGGTGGCGGGGATGGGGGCAAGACCCACTCTTCGCCAAGGCAGACGTGTGCGTGCGTGCGTGTTTGTGTGTGGGGGGAACCTGGGCCAGTGGAGCAGAGAGGCCCCTGTGCCACCCTACCCCNAAGTGTCCCCATGGACTCTTCTGCGCCACTGCTTCCTTCGCAGGAGGGACAGGAGGAGGGCGGCAGGACTAAACAGGCTCCCCCTTTCATTCCTGCACACACACACCCCAAAAAAGCCCTCACAGGAGATGCCTGGGAGGCAGCTTTTGGCTGGCCTTTGCTGTGGGGTCCCCTTTGGAGGACTCGTTTTACAGTAGGGTTTGTTTGTTTTTAATGGTGTTGTTATTTATTTTTGTTCTCCTATTTGAATGTGCTAATTCTATTAGGGGTGTTTTTTTTTTTAATTGCTCATTACTTTGGTAGCACGTGCAGGCAGTTGGATATACATGAAAGGAGAACGATCCCTTTCGCTCACCCCCCCCCCAGCAAAACCTCCCAAGAGGCTCCTCCGTCATTAAGGCTTTTTGCCGGGCAGACGGGACAGTTCGCGGGGTCCCTCCCCAAAAAACCTAGGAATTCCACCCATCATGGGGGTGGGGTGGGGGGAGGGCACAGGGCCCCTCCCTGCCTGCACCCCTCCAGGGGAGACGTTCTGCCCTCCAAACAGCCCCCCCACCCCATGCTCTTGCCCACGACAGGAGGGGCACTCGGAGGGCCAGAGTCTCGGCAGCAGCCTCCACCCCCCCCCAGGGATTCAGCCGGAGTATCTGCTGGGCAGGGGCAGGATTGGGGGACCTTTGGCACCGCAAGGAGGGGGGGCTCCTTCTGAAGCCTTGAGGCCCTCCCTGGCATCTCCCTTCCTGTGAACCACCCCCTTCCCCAGCCTGTCGGGGGGCCCGGCCCTGGTGCTCCATCTCCTCCCGGACGGGTGGGGGCACCGGCTGCCCGGCCACCCCAGCTGCAACACTGCCTTTTAGGTTTTCCCTGGAACAGCATCAGGCAGCCGGGTCTCCAGCTGGCTTGGCATCCTTCCGAAGGGCCTCAAAGCAAGGCACCTCGGCTCCCGAAGGCCTTGTGTGAAAGAGAGAGAGGGTAGCAACCCTCAGCAATTCCCCCCCACACACCCCTGGCACAATGCCAGCCGTCACAAGGGCACGGGCGCTGCTGCCCATCTATGCTAGCAGATCAACTGGGAGGGCTCTCGGACAGCGTGAGGACAGGGGGCCCCCACCAGGGCTCTTCCTCCCCCCCAAAAGCTTGCACTGGGGGGGCAGTCCCTATGCCACCCAGTCAGAGAGATCTCTTCAGGCAGAGGGACTCGGGGTCACTAAGCAAGAGAGCGGCTCCAGCAGAAGGGAACCGCCCCCCCCGCCGCCGCCCCCAGCGAGGGCAGGAGTGGCCCTTCCTTCCCTCCTTCCTTCTGTGGGGCTGAGCCGGCCAGCCCTTCGGGAGGGAGGGGCCGCCGGCCTTTCAGAGCCAGGAAAGATGAAGTCAGCAGCCCGAGGAGGGAGGCAGGGCGCTGTTCATCCAGGTGAGGGTGTCCTGCCCCTCCCCTGCCTGTTCTGTGTCCCCCCCCCCAATTGCTCAGCAGATCTTCCTCCTGCCCGGGGCTGGAGGGGGCGGGCTACCAAAGGCACACACCCCCCATTCCTTGCCCAATGCCTGCCTTCCTGCCACCCCCTCCCCACTGGGCCCAGCTGCTGACCAGGGAGCAAGTATTTCTCAAAGCCCTGCTCAGGGGAGGAAAGAAGAGCTCGCCCCCCCCCTCCAGCTCCTTGGCTGAACTGAGAAGGAGGGGGGGCAGCAATGGTGGCCCCCCGGAGGAGGCAGCCTGTGGGGCTGCCCCCCTCCACCGAGCCAACGAGAGCTGTAGGAGGCCAGAAGCAGTTCAGTTCTCCCCCAAGGAGAGCGGCTGCCAAGGGCGGCTGAGTCGCAGCAGCGGAAGGAGGAACCGGCCAGGTCGCTGGGGTGGCCTGGGTCTCCGGCCGGGCGCTCGATTCCCCTCTGGGGCTCCCTGGCAGGGGCTGGACCCCACGGCCCAGAGGGTCCCTCACAGGCCTCTGCCCGCATTTATTGCAAGAGGTGGCTGTTGTCACCTATCGGGCCAGGGAAACGGCCTGAGTCGCGGCAGCTGAGTGCGGTTGTCCGGCCACTTTGCTACCTGGGGCCGAGTCCCCCACCCGGCCGGCCGGCCGGCCACCC